CTTGAATCCAATGTGCAGTTTCCAAGTATCGATACAATTGATTATGTACCATTTCAAATCGATTTGTAATCGATATATGTCGTCCGAAATTCCGATTTGCGGAGTTCAGTTGGATCGCAGGAATATAAATTGATTAATCGATTCAGGGAATGAATCGTTACACCCCTACAAGCAAGCAAAGCAAAGTTACTCCTTTCCCCCATCAATGTACCATTGGATTTTGACACCAGATTAAATAGTAATTGGTTGCAGCGTTTTGTTCTCTAAGCCTTTCATAAACCTCTCAACTATAAAGTTATTTGTTTGTGTTTGCATGGTTTTGCAACAAAAGGAATGCAGAGTTAACTGCATAAAATCTAGTGATGATCTTGGTTTTTCCCCAGGATCCTTCTACAACTCAGGAAGCTAAGCTAAGATGTGCCTAATATGTGGTGACAAACAGCAATTTTGGAATCCGATCGCTCGTGATCCTCTGGTGTCTCGTCACGGTTTTGATTTGCTGTTGTGCAGCTGAAATGTTTTTTTCACGCTGACATTTTTTCCGGTTGTGTTTTGCAGTGAAGAAAGGAGGAGCTTGGCAAACTGTTCTGCATCATGGAGAAGGAAGACCTGAAGGTCCTCAACAAAGGGGAAGAGGAAGAGATGGTGCGGTTCTTTTATTGAATTTAACGTCAGGGCCGATGTGTGCATTTTTGCTTTTTGCCCTTTTATAAGACTGCGTCCCCTTTTCTGCTCCCGCCCTCTAGGAGCTGCAGGGCTACCGTCTGTGTCGTTGGCGGGTGGCCCTCGTGGGCCTCGGGGTGCTGTGCACGGGGGGCTTCCTCCTCCTGCTGCTCTACTGGATGCCGGAGTGGTGCGTCAAATCCACCTGCACCCGTACCACAGCCCGTGATGCCAAAGTGGTATTGCTGCGCTCCACAGTAAGTCGCAAGTGACCCTGCAATAATGAATCACTGAGTCAATGGGGGGCAACTACTACTTGGATGATCCATGCAACGTTTCAATGTTTTTTTTAGAAGCAATTGTTTGCCCGACTGACACTCGCTACTCGCTGCGTATAATCAAAGTCTCATTATGCCATCGTATGCTTAGAACTTTCCACTTGCATCCTTCTTCGCATCGAGTTTTTGTTAAGAATTCAGTGTGACTGACTAGTTGATATAGAAATCTTAATTTCATGGATGAAATACTCCTTTCCAGAACTGCAGCTTTGTGTGTTTTTCCGTCTAGGATGAGTTCCGACGCTGGTTCCTTGCCAGGGTACGAGTGATGCTGGCCCCGGGGAGCAACCCCTTCCACAGCCTGGAGACCCGGACCACCTCCCCCTCCCCCTCCTCTCCCTCCCGCCCCTTCTCCTCCCCCCATCTGGCCAACGGACATAACCTCGACCCCTCCGATGGCGGAGACTTTGGTGACTACCAGCCCACACAGGTAATATTCATAATGCCGTATCCAGACAAATACAATGTGCTCCATTTGTTCAATAATTCAAAGTGACCTTATTGCAATTGTATATTTGCAGTATGTAAGTAATGTTGACATAAGTCTCATCTGCCCCTCCCCTATTGTATTTCCTTCAGATTCGCTATTTTACCTTCCATAGCACAAAGTATTATTGGATTGACGGTGTGCAGAACTTTGAAGTTTTAAAGTAAGAAATCTTTGATTATCTACAGACATTTTACAGGCTGTTTTTGGTTGCATCCTGGAAGCACTTTTGCTGCAGAAAACTTGGCAAACAAATAGCTGTGAAGAAAAATATTAAAAACAAGCTGTAGTAAATGTCCAAGTTAAGCAGAACTTTTCCAACATTACAAAACTCTGTCCTTGGTCTTAACCAATATTTCCCCTTCAGCGGCCTGGGTGATCTACAAGTCAGCTGCTCCACCCTCCACTCAGAGCACAGTTCAGGCCTGACCAGGAACCAGCAGAAGTACAGGTAACATCTAACCTGTCGTAAAAGCCAGATGGAAGGAGGCTTCTCCCGCCTGTTGGTCATATTATTCTGTTGTTTTGTTACACTTGCTGCAGTTGTGTAACTACAGAATACAGACGTGTCCATTGTTTGAGTTACACTATCTGTCAGTGGAAGTGGCTGTAGAGATAATAAGAGTTAAAGTGATAATTAATACTGTATAAATCATTTGAATGAGAGGAGGAGGACCTGGTAATTTTCTTAAATGGTACGTTGCCGTGTATCTGTGCTGTACATCATGTGTATGTGTGCGCGTGTTAAGATATGAACGTCTGGTTCAAAGTTTGCTCAAGAATGTCTCTTTCACCTCTTGTCAGGAGGCTGTTCTTCGGAGTGAATGAAATTGCAGTGAAAGTGCCTTCTGTTTTCAAGCTGCTTATCAAAGAGGTAGGACCCAGTTTGCATTCAACACAGGCATCCTTTTCTTTCACCCCGAGTTTGAATCACATTCGAATGAATGACACCGTGTCAACTTATGTGCTCATCTTTTACAAGTTACCGGCTTGTTGGCTTATGGTTTCAGTTCCCGCTAAAGCAAACATATTTAAACCCCACACAAATGATCCAATATAATCTTTTATCTTTCCCAGATAGTAGATAGAACATAGCTATGCACATATTTGTTAAGGAAAGTAGTTCAAAGCTACTCACTGTATTTCTACGACAGGGGTGTATGCATAATATGTTTGAGTAAATACTACACTAATGCCCCCTGAAGACTAACACAGTAATGACAAATTCACACCACAAGGGTAACATTAACCAATGCATCTCATCCCCTTGAATCCCAAACAGTCGTAAAGCATGTGAACTTGATAATTTGTAAAAAAGGAGATGACCCTTCCCCCCATCCTGATTGTCCTGGTAGCATCTTAGTTATGCCTTCAAGTTGATTACTGTTCCTTGTGCTCTACTCTGCAGTTGGCACAGTTCTGACTTTGTCTCCCCCTGCAGGTCCTAAACCCCTTCTACATCTTCCAGCTCTTCAGTGTGATCCTCTGGAGTGCCGATGAGTATTACTATTACGCTGTGGCCATTCTTTTCATGTCGGTCATATCCATAGCTACCTCTCTGTACACCATCAAAAAGGTGAGCTTCACGAACTCATACCTGTGTCAGATGGATCAAGAAGCTGTCTAAATTTTCTAATCTATATTTCTTTGTTCTTTTCCAGCAATACATCATGCTTCATGATATGGTGGCAACTCACAGTACGGTCCGTGTGTCTGTATGCCGAGCCAACAATGGTTTGTTGAATATTTAATATTTGTGTTTTTCTGTGGCCTCCGTAGAGTAACTTTAATAACAGTGCAAAGCATGTCTGATTTGTATTTGGTTCCTTTTAAAAGCACGCTTTCTGAAGCAAACCTGATGTTAGACATTTGTCCTTGGTCAGAGTGTGTCCAGACTCAATTACACTGTTGCACTGCTTTGGCTGTCATCCAGATGTCCTTTGGGGAGGGGAAATGCAGACTTTGGGGAAGACATGGCGGGCGTACTGCACATTCTTTTGTGTGTCCAGAAGTCCTTTTAAACAAGTGATTGCGCCTGCAGAGATGATGCCGAAAATGGCACGGCTGGTGTCTCACAGGACGAAACTTAGCTCAGTCCTCCTCCTTTAGAAATATTGCGTTGGAAGTCTGTACACAGTTTAATTTATGCGTCCATTTCCTGCACATTTCCCTGCATGTGATACCCAAGCTTTTTTTCCAGGTTCCTAGAGAGGCTTGTGTAATGAGAGATGTGCTGCACAAGACTCTGGGCCTCGGACACAAAATATCTCCTCCCCTACCTCCACATGCACCTTCTGCTACTGCTACAGCCCCTTCACACACGTTACACCACTCTACATGCGCGGCGGTTTTTGTCTTCCATTCTGTTACCCACACTGCACTCCAACTGACTGTGTTTAATGCTCCTCCAATGCACCCCCACCCCCCTCCCCTTCCTGGCAGAAATCGAAGAGATTTTGTCTACTGATCTGGTGCCCGGTGATGTTATGGTCATCCCCAGCAATGGGACCATCATGCCATGTGACGCCGTGCTGGTCAGCGGCACCTGCATTGTCAATGAAAGCATGCTCACAGGTTAGCGGCAACATCTGGACATTTAAGTAACTTAAGAATGAGAACCACCTTTGCAATATTTGTACATGTACTTCACAAACGAGCACAGGAGACTCCAAACCGCAAATTTCTTTTCCTTTTTAATCGCACAATAGCCAGAACTCATATCAATCTAACCCCCATCAGGTGAGAGCGTTCCTGTGACAAAGACCAACCTCCCCAACCCATTGCCCGGAGAGACGGGGGAGGCGACCGACTGTGTCTACAGCACGGAGGAACACAAGAGACACACGCTCTTCTGTGGCACCAACGTCATCCAGACCCGCTTCTACACAGGAGACCTGGTCAAGGCGGTGGTGGTCAGCACAGGTGTGTGTTCAGAACGCTAGTGTTAGGTTAACTGGATCTACATTTCTTTGCTATATAATTGTGGGTATGAAAACATAAAGTGACCTATTTCCATGGGATACTTTATATTTATACACTATACATTTATACATTATATTTAAGCTTTACTGAGGGACATGACGTCATTCGACTTTGCCTGTCTGAAAAACATTCTAATAACAACCTCTTGACCTTCAGGTTTCAGCACAGCCAAAGGCCAGCTGGTGCGCTCTATCCTTTACCCGAAACCCACCGACTTCAAACTGTACCGTGATGCCTACCTCTTCCTGCTGTGTCTGGTGGCTGTAGCTGGAATTGGCTTTGTCTACTCCATCGTCCTCAGCGTCTTGAACAAGGTATTCTTGCGATTGACCACCGAATTAAACAAATGCCTGTTCTGATTTCGGGATCCATAGGTTCAGAGTTTTAGGAGTGAAGGGGGAGAAAATATGATTAAGTCTGTATGGAATTCAGATCTAGTTCTGTCTCATAGAACATTGACGGTTTCTTTTTGATTTACCTACTTGTGAGCTGCCCAATACAACCACAGCTTTCTTTGTTGACCAGCTCAATATGTTTGACGCTTATAACTGAACCTTTTTTGTTGTCGAAATCCCTTTAAAACAAACTCTAGGCGAATTGTGTTTTGTTGTCGTCTGATACTTATTGACTGGTGTTTTATCCTTTCCCTCCCTTGATTTGCAAAAGCTTTCCCAACTAAAAATGGCAATGCAAAATTTCTAAATCTGACTGTATGATTGTAGGGCTGTTGTAGGATTATAGGGTTGTTGAGGAGTTAGCATCAGGTTTTCGGGATCAGTTCTTTTGGATGATTAATTTGGATTTTCTGCGGAAATGAGCAGTCAGAGGAGAGACTTGCTGTATCACTGTTACCAGTTCAAAACTGACATATTTGACTCTCAAGGTTCGATTTTAGTCAACTGTTCAACTAATGAGGGAGAGTGAATGGAGAATCTCTTCTAGTTTTAAGAAAAACTCTGATGAAACGTTTCCTGACTTAGTTCCTTTCTGCCTGCTCCAGGTCCCAGCAAAGACCATCATCATTGAGTCCCTGGACATTATCACCATCACTGTGCCGCCTGCGCTGCCAGCCGCCATGACAGCCGGCATCGTGTACGCCCAGCGACGCCTCAAACAACTCGGCATTTTCTGCATCAGTCCACAGAGGATCAACATCTGCGGTCAACTCAATCTGGTCTGCTTTGACAAGGCGAGTACAAGTGGTTTTGCTGCTGCTGTTTATGCTCTTCAAGTAGTCCGCACTTACTTTAGAGATGGATGAAGAAGAGTGCAATTTCATGGAGGCCAACAAGAAAGTAAACATCTGAAATAAAACAAACCCAGTGATCTGACATTACTAGCTGTAGAACCTCTAGAATACTTTAGCGATTAGATTTCGATTCCATTCGACTTGATAAACACGTCTTTCTGCTTACAGACTGGAACTCTGACAGAAGATGGATTAGATTTATGGGGAGTCCAGCGGGTTGAGAATGGCAGGTAAGCTGTACTCTGATGAGTCAAACGCTTGCTGATTATCTGGTGGCAAATATTCGTAGAGTGTATTTTGTGAGTTCTCAGATTGTGTCAAATTTTTCATGACAAATCATTTTTCTGCAATATCCTAGTTGTTGCGTTGTGCTTGACTATTTAGAGAGTAGATGTTATTGATTCTGTGGTTATAATGTTTAGAAGAATAATGGTCGCAAGAATCCCTGATGATAATAATCATGCAGTGTTACTGTTCTTAAATTCATACATGTCATTGTACTCCATTACTTTTGATCAGTAAAACTTCTTTCCTCGTCCACCATCTGTCTCTTCAGTTTCCATCCGTCAGAGGAAAACGCATACAAGGAGAATCTTGTCAAGTCCCAGTTTGTGGCTTGTATGGCCACCTGCCACTCTCTCACCAAAATAGAAGGCCAGCTGTCTGGAGATCCGCTGGACCTCAAAATGTTTGAGGCTATGGCTGGGTGAGTTGTCCACCCTCAAGCAAAATGTTGGTCAAAGCAGCAAAGTGGGGATGTAATTAGTCTCACTATGGGGAGAAAATAGCACTCAGAAATCATTTTGTGTGCAGGATAACCGCGTGAGAGAAAAGGCGAGGGATCTAAAAGATAGTCATTCATTTCTACACATTCTTGACATTTCTTAGTTTGGTTGCATCAACATTTTTTATGAATGTTATTTTCTCAAAACCTTTGTCTGCTTAGATCCTAGAGGAGGCCACTGAGGAGGAAACATCTCTCCACAACCGCATCATGCCCACTGTTGTTCGACCTCCAAAACAGCTGTTGCCCCCAGAGCCTGCCGCGACACCGGAGCAGGACATGGTACTTTGAGCAACCCAGTCATTCCTCAAAATTGAAAGATATAAAATGTTAGCAATCTTGTGTTGCATATTTCATTTTTATTTTGGCTTTGTATTTAATATTCCTTCACTGACGTTTATTGGCTATTTTTAAAACCAACATACTCTTGTGGTTCTGTATATTTATGTTGCATTGAGGTAAAACAAAAGCCACATTATTAATACTTATTAGTTTATTTGTGACTCATCCCACTTTGTCTTTTTCTCATTCTAGGAACTCTATGAGCTCTCAGTAAGTTGTCTGATTCCTTTATTTTTATTGAGTTGGTTGAATGTGTTATGTCTCTTATTGTCAAATGAATAACTCATAACACAAGGATGTGATTGAGACTGTAACCATAACTATTAAAAAAGATTTACCACAAAATGTTTTTATTTTAATTAGAATAGTAGCGTTTTATTTACTAATCATGGCCAGTTGATATAAATCAGTTTAAGATTAATTAATATATTTTAATATTATTTATTTAGCGTTTCCTATCAAAAAAATCTGGATCTAATCTTCTTAATCCTGAAATCTTGCAGTTGTTCATTTTGTAGCATTACCAGTGAAGTTTTCCTTTTTATTTTTTCCATCTTCTCCTTGACGTAAGTAATGAATACTGATATTTTTCTCTTTCTGTGTGGCTGTGCATATATAGTCAGCGTATGAGATAGGAATCGTGCGCCAGTTTCCCTTTTCTTCAGCCCTCCAGAGGATGTGTGTTGTGGCGCGTCTGCTGGGGGAGAAACGTATGGATGCCTACACGAAGGGAGCCCCGGAAGTGGTGGCTAGTCTCTGCAAGAAAGACACCGGTGAGCCGTCTGATTCCAGTTACTGCTACGGTGCTTTATATCACTGAAAGTAGTATTAGTTTGGGTGCAGGCTCCATCGATGGGTGCATTATTGGCCAATAAGCAAGAGAATTTGAGATAGTGGAGATCCACCAAATTACAATGTCCAGCTGCATTCTAGAAAAGGCTTTACAACCAGTCCTGAATAAGGATGTCCGCCTCTATTGCATCCCTTCCACAGAAGTCCGATCGCCTACCTCTCTAGATTGACAAATTTCTTAAAATGCCTTGCCGTCTCTTTGCAGTGCCAGAAAACTTTGCCGAGGTTTTGGAGGGCTACACCAAGCAGGGTTTCAGGGTCATTGCTCTGGCTCACCGCCGACTTGAATCCAAACTCACCTGGCACAAAGTGCAGAACATCAACAGGTAGGGTTGTGTTCATTATCGATACTCTCGTAGTTCCTTCAATCGAACCTATTCAATCCAACTTCTCTCCACTTCCCACTGAAACCTGCGTTCCTTTACACTACAGATGTGTATTGTGTATTTTCTCTTGAATTAGGGATCACATTGAGGCAAACATGGATTTCCTTGGCCTGATCATCATGCAGAACAAGCTGAAGGCGGAAACCCCAGCGGTGCTGCAGGACCTCCACCGAGCCAGCATCCGCACAGTCATGGTTACTGGTGAGAGCATGCACACATTCACACGACCATTAACTAAACTGCTGATGACGTGAACGCTGAAGATGACACAAAAACACAGATTTGCAAACTAATACATACAGCAAACATGACACACAATCTGTTATGTCGTTCTCCAAATCTGCTCATTATAAACCTCTTACTGCCACAGTTAGCATAACTACTAACCGGCAAAAACTGACTCCAATATCCAACAGAGTAGTCTTTATTTTTTTTTTTTAAATCCATGCCTAATCGTCGGCCTTTTCAAGTTTGCTTCACAAGTTTTAAAAATTTAGTGAAAATCTCCCGTTGAAGCTGAATTTGGTGATTCATAATAAATTAGTTTTGTAATCACAATCCAGGTGACAACATGCTGACAGCCATCTCCGTGGCCCGGGACTGTGGAATGATCGCTCCCCGGGACACAGTGATCATTGCTGACGCCCTCCCTCCCCATGACGGACAAGCTGCCAAGATCACCTGGAGACACGCTGACAAGCCGAGCAAGGCGTCTCGCATGGAGGTGAGGCCATTGGGCTGACGCTAACACAAATACCCGTACAAAACGAGCATCTGGTTTAATCTCTTAACAAATGCTTTGCTGGCCTTGACGTAAAAATACTGGGTCGGCACAGTCGTTCTTTCAGTGTTTGTCAAATAAATGTTTTCAAACCATTAAATACATTTGTTAGCCTAGTGCAATGCAACAGTTGGATGATTAAAAGAAGTTGATATTGACACAGTCTGAGTAATTGTCTTTGGATCGGATCAATTCTGGATCGGTTGTAATCCTTTACTTTAACAGGACGTGAACATCAGTGTGGATGACGTGTGTCACGTAGATGAGCCCAAAACACAAGAGCTGTACCACTTTGCTATGAATGGAAAATCGTTCGCCATCATCTCCGAGCATTTCCCTGACATGCTTCAAAAGGTATGAGGTCCCTTTTTATGAGTGGAAATCCCTTCAACCTTTTCTCTAAACGAAGAAAGAAATGTTAAAGTTGCTCCTACTGTTCTTTGGGTACAATATCTTTAGTTTTTTAATAATTGTATGTTCTGCGTTGCAGCTGGTGCTACATGGCACAGTGTTTGCCAGAATGGCCCCGGACCAGAAAACTCAACTCATTGAGGCTTTGCAAGGCGTAGAGTGAGTATAATTACCCCAAAAACTATAATAAAGTAATCAGCATTACTCAAACTGAATGTGGGTCAGAATGTTGAAAAAAAAACTATTTATTGAGCACAGAGTCACTGGTCTTCTACATTTACTCACAGCTACTTTGTGGGGATGTGCGGAGATGGAGCAAACGACTGTGGGGTATGTACAGTCATTTCGAAAATAACTTAATTAGCAGAATATCAGATTGACACAGACATTGATTGATTGATTGTATATCATATTTCTAACTTTCCTCGTATTTTATTTTTCTAACTTTCGCAGGCCCTAAAGCGGGCACATGGTGGTATCTCTCTGTCAGAGCTCGAGGCATCTGTAGCCTCTCCCTTCACCTCTAGGACCCCCAACATCTCCTGTGTCCCCAACCTCATCAAGTGAGTATTTGTTTGTTTTTGTGCAGAGGAAATATGAAGTTTTTGAGCTTTGGGCTTCCAAATTGGTTCAATTTGACCACTTAAATACAAATAAACCACCACATGCTTTTCATGCTGATAAGGGCTTGTGTTGTTGTGTTTGTGTAGCTAAATTACGTACTTGGTCTGTTGCTCTTACAGGGAGGGGCGTGCTGCTCTCATCACCTCCTTCTGTGTGTTCAAGTTCATGGCACTCTACAGTATTATCCAGTACATCAGTGTCACGCTCCTCTACTCTGTATGTAATGCTGCTTCCACAAACAATAGGAGCTGAGGAATGAATGACAAATCCAGACTGTAATCTGTGCTGTTTTGTTTCTTAGATCCTCAGTAATCTTGGAGACTTCCAGTTCCTCTTCATCGATATTGCCATCATCCTCCTCATTGTTTTCACCAGTAGGTATAAGAAAAGTATTGTGAATAAGGGGATGCATTTAACTTCATCATGGGGATTTGTCTCGCTCGTTTACTTCAGGTCTCTTCTCCTCACCTATAATGTCTTATTTTCTTGCATCTTCGTTTCTTTTCCCACCGCACCTCCTCAGTGAGTCTGAATCCAGCTTGGAAAGAACTGGTGTCCCGTCGTCCCCCATCAGGTCTGATCTCGGGGCCTCTGCTTTTCTCTGTGCTGACCCAGATCCTCATCTGCTTGGGCTTCCAGACCATTACATTCCTTTGGGTCCGACAGCAGTCCTGGTACACAGTCTGGACACCACTTACAGAGTGCGTACTTGCTATTATTGTCCATTTGCCTCAGCTACACAAAAATAACATTGCAACAGTGTTGTTAAATAGATATGGTTGAGAGTCATTTCATATGTACAGATTTCTACGACAGTTTACAGAGGACAGCTTTACAAGGCTGGAGCAACCTCATCGCACCAAACACGAGATTGTTAAACACTTGGCTGACCATGTCAGAGAGGACATTGGAAATGGCAGCCATAAGCATAATAAAACATACAACAGGTCTAATAGGACAAAAAAGTACACGAATGCCGTCTTTGGCGTTACGATCATGAAAGAACACCAATAAAACATTCAAGCAAACGTTTGACTTTAATCTGTTTTTTTAATCCCAGCTATCTTTGCCTTTTTAATTTCAGGAAAAAACAGTTTACAATGACCTTACTGGTGGGAGATGTGTTTTGACCACTCGCTGAAAAATGTGACGTCATTGATTCCTGAATTAAACTCTCCTCCCATCTAGTGTCTGCAACTTGTCATCACACGGTAACGTGTCCGAACACAATGACACAGAAGTGGACGACCACAACATCCAAAACTACGAGAACACCAGCCTCTTCTACGTCTCGTCCTTCCAGTATCTCGTTGTTGCTATCGTTTTCTCAAAGGGAAAACCTTTCAGGCAGCCTAGCTACAAGAATTGTAAGAAACTGGCTTCCCTAATGTAGCTGTCTTAAAATGGTTGCGTTACTCGTATCTGTTCTAACTCTTTGTGTGTTGTTGTGCTTCAATGTTCTCTCACCAGGGCCTTTTATGCTGTCCGCATTGAGTTTGTATGTTTTCCTGCTGTTCATCATGTTCCACCCTGTCAAAGGCATTGATGAGTTTTTAGAGGTAATAAGACGTCAACACAAGTGCCGTGCACTGTAGCTTGTTTTGTCATGACGAGCTGCATACTATTATATTATAATATTTTGATACAATATGAAGCCATAGTCCGTCATTTTAATTTTAGATGGGCTTAAGTCAAGTGTTGCAGGCACATAAAGGCTGAAAACAACGTTGTCTTTCCAAAAAAGAAGGTCAGTGTTGGAGTTTCTCTTTCTCTCTCCATACAGATTGTTTGTGTCCCGTTTGAATGGAAGATAAAACTCTTCATCATCATCGTGGTCAATGCTTCTGTGTCTGTATTCGCGGAGGTAAGAAACACTTTGTTCCGCTTTTATAGAAGCTTTTGGTATTCAACTTTTTTTGAAATATTACCTTTTGTTGGGCTTTCGAGAACTATCAAAACAGCATGTGCTGTAGTTTATAGATGGACGAAAATAATGTATTTGTGTACCACTGGATGACAGTACCTCGCCGCACTCAGTGCAGCAGTATCACAACGGCTCTGCCTTCCTTATGAATGACTGCCCTCGCTGCGATGCACTCAGAAACCTAGATGAGGCTATTTCCTTAAATTCCAGTCAATGCTCTGTTTTAATTGAATTCAAAATATATAAATATATATATTTTGCACTTGATCAAAGCTTTCTGAATTTTGATTAGTATTTTGAAACGCCAATATCCAAGCACCTTCTTTTATACTAACTGGTTTACTTTAATCTGACCTCACATGTAATGATTAACACTACATTTTGGCTGTGCAAAAACAATTGAAGACTTCTATGCAAAGGAATAAATAAAAATAATACTGAGGCTATGAGAAATCAAATGAGCCATTCTGTAATTTCTTTCCCCTGCCCACTGCGCTATTCCATAGACCTTCATCCTTGACATCATCTTATGGAAGCTTGTGTTCAGCCGAGACAAACAGAGCAGCTTTGGCATCACTCCCGTTGCCCCGACGGGACCACAGGTTGGAAAAATCTGACACCTTCTTTCACCCTCGCATTTTCCTCTTGTGTGGTGTTCCCCTCTTTCTGTCCCCACTTCTACCTCTTAATGTTTCGCAGGCACCGGTTTATTGTAGCTACAAACCGAGAACTGCATGTGCGAGAAGTCTGTCTGTTTATCACTTTTTTTCTATTATCTCTTTTAGAGGATCGAGTGAATGAGCAAAGCTCTTCTTGCTGCACCCTTAGTTTCCCTATTGGTGCCTGCGTATCTGTCAGCCAATGCTGTCATGGTTCATATCGAGCACACTATATTTAAAATCAAAGAAAGTTTGTTTTTATTATCGGTGTAGATCTGCTGTGGAATCATTTGTTTGCGCTTTGACTCCATGAGCTTGTTTTTGGGGAGTGGACTCAGACTCAGAGTTTCATCTCCCTTTTCCTCCTCTCGCTACTATTTCCTTTTCATTCATTCGTGTATTTTTTTTTTTTTGGGGTTGTGGCATTTTCAGGGCTGCATTGACCTGCGAGCGTACAAGTGTCTGTCCCGGCTGTGCTGCCCGGGCAAGAATAATCCGAAGGCTCGCTACATGCATCTGGCCCAGGAGCTCCGAGTGGACCCAGACTGGCCTCCAAAGCCAACCACCACCACTGAAGCCAAGTCCTGTCCAGAAAATGGCTCCACCTATCAGATCATCATCAAGTCCTAGCACCCCCCCACGGCAGCTCACACTATCTAACCTATCCCTCCAATTACAGGAGACGTGTATGCATACGACGCGTGTTCAGTGAATGTACACAGACTGGCTTCTATTACCGAAGGTTTTTGCAGCAACCTCTCTGGACCTAAAGATTTCACAAGAGAACCAAACAAGTCAATTTTTCTCTGGCTCAACCATTCACACAGTCTCAGGTGTCTCTTGCTTGTTCTTTCCATTTAAATATCAGTAGCATTCTACCCAGGCTGGGAGTTTGGGTGATATGCCGAGTTCAATATGCACCTTGACCTCTTCAGAAACAATCTAAAAGATAGTTGGTTGATCAAGAAAGAGGATGGAAGAGAACGGTCTCATTGACCAACACTGTATCATCTGATCGTATCATATGCCGTTTGGATTTCGGAGCAGGCTAAACCTCACTTTAGTTGCTTCCCACTGGTTCACAGGTCCGACTTGTTGCAAGCGGCGCAGGCTCTCATTGCTACTATGTAGTGGTCTTCTAAAGCTAATGTAAATGTACAGAGAGTCATTTAAATAAGAGTAAGAATTACCGCCCGGCAAGCACTTGTTAGAGAGTATTGACTCATAACCAAAAAGAAAAGCTTTAAAACCCACTATAGACCCACAGGAATGAACAAACAAAAACTATTTGAGACCGGTATGAAAATAGTTTTCTGAGCACAATACGGGAAATCTTGGAGCAAATTTCCGCCAAGTTGTTGTATATTTGCACACCTCCGAATTTCCATTGCAGGTAATGCATAAATGAACTGATTGGCCGTCAACAATTGTAAGATTTGGAAACGTAACGATAAGTCTTGAAATATCCATGTCTTTCCAAAGTTAACGGGACACAGAAGTGTTTGTAAATCTGCAGTCATCGGCCATAACGTGACGTGGCCTCTCTGAAGATCCTACTGCTGTCCCCGGCCACAATAATAATTAATCCCATATATATTTTTTTAGAACATCCTATACCTTACGTTATAAGTAGGCAAGTTAGGTGAGATGAGAGAGTTTTTGTTGTTGTTTTTTTGTAAATTAATCACAAAATAAAGTACATTATACATCAGATTGATGATTTAAGCTACAAAGTGATGAACCACCTAAACATTTGGCACAATATTACTGCTTCTACAAAGTTAAGGACTAAAGACAACAGTGAGGAAAATGGATTTGCTAATCTGCTCTTAAACACAAGCTGGGACCTCTGGCAGGATCTCCATTTTGGTTGTCAGGTTCTCGATTTATCGTTATATGTAGAAAAATAAAAAAAATAGACAAACACAAATTTAAATTTCATCTAAATGTTTTTGACATGCCAATTGATCCATTGATCTGTAGTACCACCAACTGCTTAACGCTGTCGATTACCTCGGAAACTACTGACTGAATACTCTACAACTTCCGTCGTACTTTCATATTAATCCATACAAAGCGTTCTAACATGTTAAATGTTAGCACGCTACACTTCTACGACACCAGGCGTCTCAATAACGTTTTTTCTACTGTGTAATGTGCTTCGTACTATCATGGGCCACCAGTGTGACTATTTTATGAATTATAATCGTATGTTTTTGCATCCATTAGCCATCTAAAAACCTACCCAGACTTGCATGAAGCCAGTAACCCAGAGTCTCGTTATGAAGGCTCGAAGGCTGCAAAACCCGAAATATTACTGCGAATACAGAATCATCACATTAACCGCTCTGTATTACTACTGTAGAGTATTCTGCACAAGAAACGGCGTCAGCATGGATAGCTTCCCGCGTGCATGAGATAATACAAGTTAAAGCATTCAACATGTACAAACTCATGTCATCAATACTTAAAATATATTTTCTAAAACAAAACAATTTCTTCCTATGGAAGACTGATTCCAAGCGTGATAGTAAATGAAGGCATTGTGCATCACATCCGCCTGCTGCACATTCAAATATCCACCCTGCAAATGATGGATACAGATCACCTTACACACTTCGTACATATTCATGTACTGAACGCAGGCTACCTGCAAGGAGAGCTAAGGGCTATGTTTTATGTTGACTGCTTTTTCTTTGACGTTGGAAGTGATGCTCCCCAAAAATGAGTTCTTTAAGTATCAAACACTCACTCCTGTAAACTTTGAAGGTGGCTATTGGATTGTGCCATCTTAACAATAGTTTGACAATGGAAATCCAGGGTAGAGATCTACACTGGAGGAGTGGATTGTGGTGTTTTTAGTATCATTTGTGACTGATTGGATTAAAGCCAACTGTGCTGCAAAGAGAAGAAAACACACGTTTTAAAGCCACCAGTGATGGATCCTCAAGGAATGCTTGAGTGGGGAGTAATACTTGGAAGCAAAGACACCAACACGCTTGCAGCTGGTTCTCAATTTCCGCATATGTCTGTCTTTCATGAATTGTAGGGTTTGATTTGACTGATTTGGTGGTTATGAATCCCTTCAAAGGGTATTGCTGCTACTCTTCCTCCCTGACAAAATTGAGCAAATAATTTCTCTTACATCAGGTTACACTTTCAAATGCTCTATATATGACATTTCATTAAGCTTGTCTATTATAAATTATTGAATTCATATCGTGACAAGATTTCCTAATGTCGTTATAACAAATCTGAAGTTGCGCACTTCCTAAAAGCCATTGTCTATTGAGCTGCTTGTTATATTGCAAATGCACATGCAAGTTTTCATCCTACTGTCTTTTTTTTATTGCAAGCTCAAATTTGATGTGTGACTATAGTCCGCAAGGACACGTTGTTTATTCCATGAACAAAGTATCGTATTTTGTTATTTTGTGTGTAAATCGTCAGCCTGAGAAGAAAATATATATAGATACTATAGATGAAACAAAAATTCTGATATGTTGTCAAAAACAGTGACTTACTATGCTTCTATATAATTGGCATCTTCTAATTTTGTGTTTGCTGCCAGGGTTTTATTTGTTTTTGTTTCATCGCTAGAATCCTATTGAGACTAAAACAGAAAGAACAGAATTCAGTACAATGCAATACAATTCTTGTTCCAAAAGTCTTTTCATTGCATCTGAATTTGTAATTTGAAAACGTTAATGTTGAGTTTTTTGTTTAGTTCTTTCAAAATGGATTTATCTACACAGAATTGGACTTAAGTGATAATAATATTAGCGGTTGGATTCTGTCTGTATATTTGACATGTACATTACTAGTGTGTGCACAAAAATCAAAAGTTTTAGTATAACAATAATGGATTATGGATTATCGAAGGGCTGGTTGTGTCTTTTTCTAGAGTTTTGGTACTGTGCTAAAATCAGTTTTCTGTCTACCGTTTGATTTGTACTGTCAATTGAATTTATTTGTGCTTTTACTTCTGTTATTGTGTTGCATTAGCTTTCATTATGCTTATTTGGGCATGAATCCTGGGCATTTATTTCACAATTTGCATTAGTTATTGTGACGTGATTGGGGCACTTGGATCATTTTATGTTTTCTACGTTGGGTAAAAACATAATGCAGCACATCTACTTAGGAGCTCTGTATGTATACATATATTTATGTATGTATATGTATATATACACACGTGTCGCCTCCTCTTAACAAATTCATCTGAACAGACAATCGTGTTGCTTTTCTGTTGATTTATCCAAAGTGTATATTCTACTTTCTTTGTAGCTTTTTCGAAAGATTGTTTGCATGTAAAAAATGAACTTGTAATTGGCAAGAAGAATGTGCATTGCTGCTTGATATCAACTATTGTAAAAGTGACTATATAGCTACTAAGGGCAAAAATGATTCGGTCTCCGCTGTGCCATAATTGTGTGCTCATAATTGTGTGCTTTGATACAGAAAGGTTGTGTCCTTTACACTACGGTTTTGCCTTTTATCAAAACACTGCTATCTCACAACAATGGATTTTATGCTGAAACCTCTATGCGCTTTACAGGTACAATATATACCGACTGTTGACAGTTAGCATTGGCCTCTTGTTCACATGTATTTCAATCAATCGAATAGCGTTTAGATTATGTCAGCCACTGAGTGTATCAAGTCTCATGTGGATCTAGTTTCCTCAGGGAAATGTGTTCATTTGTAATGAATAAAGAAAAATGATGTAAGTTGGCACCCAATCTGAATGAAAATGCAATGTTAGTAAAACTTTTTATTACACTCAATATGTGTGTAACTCTTCCATTACAGATATCAAATAGGTCTGTTTTTTATTTGCAGCTCCACACCTCGGCAAGAGGAACTATGTGTACTTTTTATTGGCAGGGCTGTACGTTTTGGAATTTTTTTGTACTTTGTAATTTATTTTGTATTTATTTTAATTTCTTTCTCCCTGGGGATTGTACTTCAGATTTATCTCAATTTCTTTCTTTTCAATAAATGTTCTCAAAATGGAATGCCGTCATTCTGTAATTTGTGTTCATTGAGCAAGAATGGGATACCATAATGCTGCAGGCGCTACAACAATATATTATACAATATTACAACAATTATATGTAGAGATGGCTTTATGTTTCCAATGTTCAGATATTAAAATATACGCTTTATGGAGTTTATCTGTATACATTATTGGTTACTAAAATAACTAAACGCAGTGCCTGGCTAATTGGATGTAATCACAAGATATTTCTTGACCTTAGAAGTTGATCAGCATCACCTAAAAGTAAAAACTAATGAGTAGCACATATGGGTAGTGGGATACTGAGAGCTAACGGTTAAACAGGGTTTGTACTTCGTATTTAGTGATTTAGCAAAACCTTTGAAATGTGACGCCTATCTGGATGCATTTAATTAAAAGAATTTCCCCCTGCATTGGAACATCAAGCTTCAATGTTGTGCAGTTTTCCTCACTGGTGTTGGCACTTCCCCTTATGTACACAGAGGTAGCTGACGTAAATTCCTGTGTACACCAGGAGGCAGATAAACAGTTGCAACAATTGGATTTTAAAAGAAAGACTGCTATCTGTAGCATTAACACCAATGACTATTCCATATACTTATTTGATATTGGTAATAATTAACTATTTGAATATGTTTTAATAATGTCAATGTTCTACTTAATATATGTAATGTTAAATGTAAATAATATTTAAGTAATTCATAAAAGTGAAAAGACAATTCCTAGAACATTGCCAAAGTTTGACATTAAACATTACATGAACATATATCATTAAAACGAAAGTATTTAATATCTGACCTAATGTGATTATGTTGATTAAAATATTTTGTAAAGTAAAGTAAGTAAATTATAGCACCACCTTTTTGATAGAATGACCATACAGTGATTATTGTGTATGCCAGACTAATTACTAAATAAGTTGATAACCATTAAATACCTGAAAGTGTTGCAAAAACAACAAATACTTCCTCTACAGCCTAAAGCTAAAGTCACACAATTAATGCAGACATATCTGAACTGCCCCTGTTTATTTAAGTGACACCTGTATCTCTCATGTTATCATTATTGTTCATGCAAGTCTACTTTTGACATGGAAATATGCACTTGACTGATGTTACATTGTGACAGAAAATACTTTTTAAACTCCCATTTATAGATACAAGTACTGCCTAGGATTACTTTATTATCAACTGAGCATTACGATGATCTCAATATCACAAAAATCATTTTGCATTATTTCAACGCCGTGTCGCATTCAGAGGCCCTTTACCGTCTACACGTAGGAACTACTTTGCCTATGCGTTTTCTACCCGTTCTTATTTGATAGTAGGACCGCTGACAGGAAGTGGACTGTCGGTCTGGGCTGTGTCCTTGTTAGCTGCCATAACAGGCAAGCAAATGTGCACCATATGGAAAGATGACCTAAACCGTGCTTAAAGAACAATTTTGAAAGATATTTGTATTAACCCGCTGTGGATAACTGCACCATGCTGCGTGTCGGGAATAAAGCTGCCTGGTAAGTTCCAATTTGATAAAGGTAACGTCACCGATACCAGAAGCTAACTATCGTTAGTTGGGTTATCCGTGCTGTGTGGTCAGTTTGACAGCTGAGGACAGCGAAGCTAGCTAACGCTACTTATTCAGTATAAGCAGTCGTCCTATGAATCACATCGCTAATTAGACGCTCAATAAGTTCCCTCCTCAAACTGCCACTGACGTGTATTAAAATCTCAAAATGAACCTGTATTTTGACGTGTACCAGGTAACGTATAGCTAACGAGCTAACCGGGAGATTGTGGTTAAACATTAACATGGCTCTGTTGACATGCTTTTTACACTCCAATAGTGTATGCTGAGCTAAGCATATGATCGTAATACACCTTAAAAGTTATGGATGTACTTACAGAATGTACATTTTAAATGTATATAAGCTAGCTAACGTTGGTTATCAGGATACGTTAACTTTGTTAGCATACGATCACGTTGCCCCAAGATTTGTGACGTTACCACATCATCGCCTGCGTTGTGTGGTTTTATCCTTTGCTAAAAGGGTCACAAACAGCATCATTTGTCACAGCATCAGTAGTTAAGCTGTGTATCCTGTTACACGTATCAGTTGCTAACGTTACCCCCGTAGAATATAGAGTACTCCAAGGCCTTCGCCGTACTCTGATGGAGCCAAAGGCTGGGAATTAATAAAATACATTCTAGTTTGACATGTTGACACGTTGTTATTTCTACTACTGCTATGTCTACCACTAGTATCAGAGATCAATATTTGATCTCTGATACTAGATCAGATCAATATTTTAGAATAGGTGTGACTGAATATGAGCTTCTACTGGGATTATATATTCTGGGTTCATGGTTTTTATTGTCAAAAGAAGGTGAGTTTGTCTGACTTAATGTCCAATCGTTCCGTCCTCTCAGCCTGGCCTGCAGAAATCTGGTCTCCACCAACATGGGGGTGAGATTTCGGGTACCGCTGCAGAAGCTGCACCCTCTGTCACGTGCCATCCACCACCGCTACTCTGGAAACACCAACCCCCAGCGACCCCCTCACCGCACGGCAGCCCGCTACTTTACCTCCATGTCACGGTTGCCCATGCGGCCTCCCAAGCCTCCCCCAGGGTCAGGGGGCCGCGGCCACCAGCAGCAGCGCAACTTCTGGGTGGCAAGCCTCGCTGCCCGCCTGCTGAAGCTCCGATACATTCTGCTGGGCTCGGCAGTGGGCGGAGGGTACACCGCTAAAAAGGTCTGCGTTCAGTGTCTCTCACTTTTCTGAGTTATTCCAGCCCGTTAACTAGTTTTTAGTTCTTGGTTAATTAGGATGAGGCAGATCTTATCGAGGATCACAATTATAACACTCAAAAAAACTGAATAGCTCCACGTGCGTGATTTGGATGACGGTTTCAGTTCGCTGTCAAGGGAACAATTTTTTCCCCCTAAATATATAAAATAAAATGTTGTAAAAAATAATTTCTTACTTTTATTAATGAAGGAGACTATTAAGATTCATAATGACCGTATCTAACATTATTTAATAAAGTGATACCAGTAGGTTTTTGGTCCATTTTAAGTGTTAATATGAGCTGAGCGTCAACCGGAAATGTATAAATACCCCCAACGATCATAGTTCCTAAACCTTTCTTTGGTGCCTGACAGCTGTCCCCTTCCCTTATTGTTTTAGCTTTAATGTCACACTGAGTCTCATTGAAGACAGTAGAGGAAAATCTCTAATTCTTGTGAAGATAACAACTTACAACATGGGATTTTCTCTCCAGACCTATGATGAGTGGAAGGAGATGCTACCTGATTTTAGTGAATACAACTGGGTCATACCGGATTTTGTCTGGGAACTGAGTGAACAAATTGATCTTGGTAAGTATTTTCATTTTAATGTCATGATTCAATGTGCCAACACTGTTTTGTCGTCTTAATGAAGGAATATATTTCATCAAGCAGGGGGTAATATTGTTATTCTTGAAAATGTGGCTGCACATTTATGCATTATGAGACTATGCTCCTGCCCCTCTGTGTTCTCCATGTGATCTGTTTTTTACCCACAGATAAACTGGCCAAAGCTCTGCCAGAGATCGAGGAAATAGCTAAATTACTTCCTGACTTTGATAAGATAGGCGAGAACTTCACTTTCCTCAAAAGCCTCCTGTCCTCTGGTGAGTGAACCAAATTCAACTATGTTTTCACATATCATAACAATCCAATCCAACGTCTTTAGTTTCAATTTAAGATAGAGGTCATTTTTTTCCACATCTGTTTTGGTCTCTGATTTTATATCAAATATCCAAAATTTCAGCTGAGAGCCCTATTAAAGTGGAAGAGACACAATAACATGGATTTATAATAATGAAAAAATCATAGAAAATAATCTTCTTTATGCCCTAAATTTCTGCTTTTCTGCAACTTTTTTCCATGGTCACCATGTGTTTTGATCAGTGGTTGTCTAGCCATGCTAAAACACCTTAAATCATGGTGGAAACATTCATTTATTAGGTACAATAATAGGTTACAAGGTACATTTCTTTGCAGTCCTGCTAGACTACTTTGTATGTGTATATATGCACGTATATATTACACTATATTTACTTAAAACATTATCTAAAGCACATGAAGATTGCCTAGTACGGCGTCATAGTGGTGGGTTAATTTGCTTATTGCATGCCGTGGCGCACATATCTCAACTATACCGCCACTCGAAGCTCCAGCACAGCGGCAATTTTTTCAAAACTCATCATTTGACCGTGTCCCTGCTTTGAACACCATCCCTCTGCTTCTGTCTGTTATGATTTTTATCTTGTGCTGTTCTTCCTTTCTCCTCCTCCCCATCCCTGCTGTCCTCCTCCTCCACGTTCTTCACAGGTGTGAGTTTGGGTAGTGAAGTCAAAGGAGCTTCTGGTCTGCATCTGTTGTTAGGTGTGTACACCCCACGCTCTGTAGCGCTGCCTCCTCCTCTCTATGCCACTCTTTGACTAGCGCCACAATACCGGTATGCTTGTAGCGCCTGTGCTTTCCTGCTCGCCATGGTTTGGCTCTAGAGGAAAGAGTGGGGCACCTTCCCAGGACTTTGGCTCTCAGTTTGCGGACCAGTCAGATCGTCTGTCATCAAAGGCAATGGTCATGGTGAACACGGTCCTGTATTCAGTGAATTGTTTTACCTGTGACCAGGATGGTGAAGTTTCATCTTGGATATTTCGATGAATGTGGTATCCAAGCCGACTTCCAATTTTACTCTTTTGGCTCTCATCCATTTACTGGAGTAAACTCCAACCTCACTCTTTCAGGTTTCTCCTCTTTCTGAAATAGAAAAAAAAATAGTTTAATAGTGGCAACAATTTTTAATTCCTGGTCTTAAATACAGACCGAGTGTGTTGGCCTTTAGTTGGTTCTTTTCCCCTTTTGAGTCTCTTTAACCTGACTGTGCGTGGCTGTACGATGTCTGTGTGGTTTTTGCCTCCTTTGACTTCCACCCTTTCTCTC